ATCCAGTGGGCCCCTCAGGCCCGAGGCTGAGTATTTTACAAGGACTGACTCCCTTAATACTCATAGCAGTTATATGAGTTAGGATGCTCGTAAAGCTCCATTTTCCAAGTTGGAGCAGCATCAAAGTTGAGAGAAAGTGGGTAACCTGTATTGGAAGTCTCATCCTCGTTCCTCCCCCTCAGCTGGTTCTGTTGGAGCTCAATTTCCTGCCAACCACAGGGACCAAACTGACCAAACAGCAGCTCATTCTGGCCCGTGAGTGTCACTGGTTGGTGGAGGGTGACTGGGGGGGCGGGGGGTGAGTGATGGTAAGAATGATGGTAGTGATGATCCCTGGAGGGATTCCAGTCACCACCTCAGAGCCACCCCCTTACTAACAGGTGACATCCTGGAAATCGGGGCCCAGTGGAGCATCTTATGCAAGGACATCCCCTCCTTCGAACGCTACATGGCCCAGCTCAAATGCTACTACTTTGATTACAAGTGAGGTTGGGCCCTCTGGGGAGGGGACTGGAGTGGGGGTGGTTACTTGGTAGTTCATTTACCACTGTCCCCAGAAGCTGGAGGGACGGGATTGACTCGGAAGTCTTGAGACTGGGTTTATGTAGTCCACTTGGTTTGTGTGGCCCATTTCTGTAAGTTTCTAACTGGTTTTCCTTTCTGTTAAAGACTTTTTATGTATTTTTATGTATGTGGGCGTTTTTCGTGTATGTCTGCACGTCAGAAGAGGGCATCAGATCCTGTTCCAGATGGTTGTGAGCGCCATGTGGGTGCTGGGAATTGAACTCAGGACCTCTGCAAGTGCTGAGCCCTTCGAGGCTGAGCCATCTCTTTGCCTCCTTGATTTGGTTTCCCCGATCCTCACACTGTGTCCCCTCTGCTCAGTGTGGCTGCTTGTTACCCTTCTTCTGCGAGGCTGTACTCGACTCCTCTAACTGACATGTCTGTAGCAGGCAATAGGATGCTATTCTGCTTCACTGTTTGCTGGTTTTGTTTTAAGACAGGATTCAAGGCAGTCCACCTGCCTTTACTTGGAGACGATAGGTAGTGCTGCCCCCTGCTGGTTTGTTTGGTCGTTTGATTGGGTTTTGTTGTTGTTTGTTTGTTTGGGTTGCTTTGTTTGTTTGTTTTGAGACAGGGTTTCTCTGTGTAGCCCTGGCTGTCCTCAAACTCACAGGGATCCGCCTGCCTCTGCCTCCTGAGTGCTGAGATTAAAGGCGTGCGCCATCACCACTTGTTTTTGAGTTTTTGCTATGTAGTTCAAGCTGTCCTTAAATTTGTTGCCATCCCCATTTGCCTCCTGAGTGCTGGCATTGAAGGCGTGGGCCACCACACCCAGCTGTTGTGTTTTGAAGACTTTGTCTCCTGTTCCCTAAAGCTGGCTGAGAACTCAGTGTGTAGCCCAGGGTGAACTTCTGATACTCCTACCCCTCCTTCCCAATAGCTGGGATTACAGGTGTGCACATCCTTGTCTGGCTTATACAGTGCTGGGGACTGAGCCCAGGGTGTTGTTCATGCTAGGTAAACAACGTTCTCCTTCCTGAGTACCTAACCTCTGGATGCTATTCTTAGGATTGTATACCCAGGTTAGGCCATTTAGTTCACTTATGTTTACCTCCTTTGTGGTACAGACTTGGTGACAGCCGTCTAACAGATGGGGAACTGTGAATTGAGGTACCTCGCTTGGTCCATATGACTTGTGGCTTTTCTTACCTCTCTGTACCTCACTTGTCTGAACTCCCACAAGTAGTTGTAAGGATTCTGGAAGGTAGATGAGGCACTTGGTTAGGTCCCCAAGACCTGCTAACCTTGGTTCCCTCCCTGCTGGTCTACAGGGAACAGCTTCCTGAGTCAGCCTACATGCACCAGCTCCTGGGCCTCAACCTCCTCTTCCTGCTATCCCAGAACCGAGTGGCTGAGTTCCACACAGAATTAGAACGCTTGCCTGCCAAGGACATCCAGACCAATGTCTACATCAAGCACCCTGTGTCCCTCGAGCAAGTGAGTCTGGGCAGGGGAAGGGAGAACCTGGCTGAGGTGGGTGGTGTCAGTTGAGAACTTGAGGAGAATTTCCTGGAGGAATGATCAGGGTTCAGCTATTTTCAGCCCACCAACTCAGTTAACCAGCAGTATGTTAAACAGATGTGTGCCAGGCCCCAGGGTAGTTTCCACATTAAGGCAAGTCAAACAGGTAAAACCTTTAATCTTGAGACAGTGAGGGGAGGAAGCATTGAGTACCAAAAGAGTGAGTCACCTGTGTGGTGCATGGAACACGAAGGTTATGGGGACCTGGGCCTGGGAGGGCTCAGTGAGGATCTGAGAGGGCTAAGAGGTCATCTGGCACAGACTGTCTGTGTCTTGAGGCTAAAACCTGCCTGCAGTATCTGAGGGACATCAAAGAAGGTAAAGGAACAAGGGGATAAGGCTAGGGTAGGCCTTGGGAGCTGGTAGGAAGTTGTGTCTGGTGCAGAGGCCTCCAGAGGATTTGCTGTGGGGAGGGTGGCAGAGTGACAGGTAGGTGCAGCAGTTTAGATGTGTGTGGAGTGGGAGCTGGGGTTGATACACCTCTGTCTCCCCTTACGACTGGAGAAAAGGTGGTTGGATGCCAGCCCAGAGTAGACTGCCAGGGTGAGTGTGTAAGCCAGTAAGGCTTCTTGGAAGAGGAAGAACCTAATCTCCTGGGAATGGGTGGGCTGTGTGGCAAGGTGTTCTGGTAGAGCAGGCATTGGGAGGCACCAAGGGAGCAGGGAGGCCCCTGTGCTACCTCATCCTCTTCCTCCTTGGCCTTGGCAGTACCTGATGGAGGGTAGCTACAACAAGGTGTTCCTGGCTAAGGGAAACATCCCCGCTGAAAGCTATACTTTCTTCATTGACATCCTACTGGATACTATCAGGTATGTGGGGTCTGGGTCCCCAGACTTCCTGGCCTTGCTTTCCCCAGATGCTACCCTCCCCAATTCCTATAATTTGATGCCTTGGTGTTTTTCATAGTGGATTTTTTCCCCCTTCTGGGGGTTGAATCAGAACTTTGTGCAGACTAAACAAGTGCTCTACTGCTGAGCTGCGCTCCCAGCTTTTTTTAAAGGTAGGGCTATTGAGAAAGGGTTTCGTGTAGCCAAGACTGGCCATGAACCTGATCCTCCTGCCTCCACCTCCCAAGTGCTGGGAGTACAGGCATGCACCACCACAGCTGGGTGCATGTGGTGCTCGGGATGGAGCCTGTGCTTAAGGTGTGCTGGACAAGCACTCTTCTTCACTCACGCAAGAACCTCCTCCAGACTGAAGAAGGTGCTGTGCTCTTGGGAAGGAAGGGTCCTGTGTGAAAAGACTCCCTGTGCCTGCTTTGTGACTGACTGGTCCAGTTAGTCTCCTCTTTCTAAGCCCTCCGTGCTGGAGACTGTCCCGGGAGGACAGGGTCTGGGAGGTTGTCTACTCCGTAGTGAGAACTATCACCTTCCCACAGGGATGAAATCGCAGGATGCATTGAGAAGGCCTATGAGAAAATCCTTTTTGCTGAGGCTACCCGGATTCTCTTCTTCAACACACCCAAAAAGATGACAGACTATGCCAAGAAGGTGGCTGGGGTGTGGGACAAGGACTGCGGATCGGGCTTGGGGAATGGAGGGTGTTGTACCCTGTCCCAACAGTATTAGGGCACAGTATGGGGAGTCTTGGGGACACTAGGAGAATTAAGACTGCCCATGGCTAAGTCCAGTTGCTAGACCTCAGATAAATGGCCCAGCCTTTCTGAGCTTTTTGGCCTTTCCAGAGAAGGGGCTAAAGTTTGACATAGACGGAGAGCTTAGCATAGTACCTGGCACTAGGTCCAAGGATGCCCTGCATGTTAGGTTTGCCCTTAGCAGAATTCCTTCAAAGCAGCTTGCCCCATAAGACTGCTTCTTCATGGGGTGGAACATCTGAATAGGAGCAGTGCCCCGGAGGTGCTGACTCATGCTGCATCCTGACCTTGGTGTCCAGGAAGCAGAAGAGTCAAGAGCAGACTGAAGCTGCCAGGCTAGCCAAGTGGTCTGAGGCACCAGGCTCAAGAGCAGACTGTCAAGGGTGAATTTGAGCTGTGATGGCGACAGCTGTTAACTGTGACTGTGGACCAGATACTATTCTCATTGCTCAGAGGCACTAACAGTCCTCGTTGTAGATCCATAGAAGTGTGACTATGGTACCAGTCTCAAACATGGAGTGACCTTGCTTGCCTCCAGTTAATCTGGTGGCAGTGATCTGTGAAGAAAGGAGTCATGATATACTGAGAGGTGGCTACATGGGATGGGGAGCAGCCTGTGGGATCATCCACTTACTTCTTTCTGATTTCTCTTCCTTCAGCGAGGTTGGGTCCTGGGCCCTAACAACTACTACAGCTTTGCCAGCCAGCAACAGAAGCCAGAAGACACCACCATCCCCTCCACTGAGCTGGCCAAACAGGTCATCGAGTATGCCCGGCAGCTGGAGATGATTGTCTGAGCCTCGGCCAGGGCGGGTGGACATGACTAGTCCAAAAAACCCAGTGTAGGCTGGCCTTCAATAAAGGCGGATTAACCTTTTATGGGCCCTAGTCTCCCAGTGGGACAGTGGAGTTTGGGGGCCTTTGGACCTCCTGGGTATGTGTTACCCAGTAGCCATTGCTCTGGGTTTTAAGTGTAGATGCCCAGCAGCCCACAGGAGAGCACAGGCCCAGCTTGAGGACTCTTCTAGCCAGCTGTGGATGCATTGTGGTGCTGGGCCAGGGGACTAGATTTTTCAGTGAAGCACCGTGTGTCTCAATTTTTAAAAAATGTTGGCCACGGATTAAATAATTTTTCAAATGACACGTGAAACTGAGCTTGTCTGTGGGCTACCCTTTGTGCCCTCTGTAATAAATGGTATGGGCCATGATGTGGATATGCCTTGTCTGACCTCCTTGAGCCAACACTGTAATTTATAACTTAGACCCTGCTGGCCCACTAGCCTGTGTGCTGGGAAACTGTTTTAAGGGCACTTCCAAGTCTGGCCGAGTTACCTGCAGAGTTTTTGAAAAAGCCGGTTGGTTATCCTCACTGTTGCTCCAGAGTGACCCGTGACCATGGCTCAGCCACAGCGTTGGTGGTGTAAAGGGGACAAGACCCTCGTCCTGGGCCTAAGTGATGCCTGCTCCCTGGCATCTCATCACTGCTTTGGGCCCGGTCACCTTACTTGGTGTGCATAGGAGCTGGTTCTTTAGAGGAAGCCTGGCTTTGCTCGTTTCTGCACCTCAGCCTCCCGGGTGGTTAAGGATAGGCAGCTAGGCAGGCTGTGTAGACTGGGTACTTTATTAAAGAAGGTGAGGCAGAGGGTGTTGGGCAGACCGAACTCAGTTGGAATGGGTGGCCTGCAAGTCGTAGTGCTCCAGGCCAGCTACTAGGGAGCCGGCCAGCTTGACGGTGACCACCCAGGGAGGCTCACTCAGGTGGTTGGTGGTCGTACTCAGCCTGGCAGGAGGAAGAATTGACAGGGTCTGTCTGTGTACTTTCCTGGGCTTCACCTTCCCCGTGGGCATAAAGACAAACTGAAGGTGTCATTAGGTTCCCAAGGGCATTTGGGGTGGAGGTACAGCCATGTAGAAAAGGAAGGAATGTGATGAGTCCTAGCTAAGCCCCCAAAGGAGGCCAAGGCAGGATTTTGTCCATAGCTGGGCTTAGACCTGGCAACACAGTCCAGGGGCATAGTTTAGTAGCAAAGGTGGAGGAGGGGCGGTGTCCCCTGATGGGAAAGTAACCTTTGCGGCCAAAGGCTGAGACCTCTACCCTTTAGTTGCCAAAGCCTTGCCTCCGGGGTAGGGGGGTGGGAAAAGGTATGGCAGGTGGGGATTTCACTGGGCCCAGGAAAGTTGGGGGCCTATTTATTCCTCCCTCAGGTTCCAGTAGACAGTTGTTTCCTTCTGACATCTCTGAAAAAACTTGTCTCTAGTGCCCTCAGGGACAGGGTTAGACCAGAAGAGGGTCAGACCAACGGGAAGACTACAGGACCAAGGGTCGAGGGGTTGAGCTAATGGCCAGTCAAGGGTCAAGGCTCCTGGGGCTCAGTTAGGCTGAGACCCACGTAAGTCAAGGGGTCAGCCTATGGTCAGGATGCCATAGCGTTGAATCTTACTCTATCCAGGGAAAATGGGTGCTGGACTTGGGAGTGTGCCCGCCCTCTACTCTCCACTCCTGGGTCTCCCTCACCAGGCAGACACGTTGCGTGGCAGGCGTCGGTGACGGGGCTGATGGCGGCAGTAGCACTTGGAAGGACAAGAATTAAGCACCTCGAAAGGCGGCCAGTGGCGCACTGCACCCTTGCTAGGGGCCCCAGCTGTGGGTGTTCCGCTGCTGCTACCGCCACCCCCTCCACTGCTGCTGTCAGTCACTGGAGTCGCAGTCAGTTCTCGAGGACCGTCTCCAGATAGAACCTCTTCACGGATCACACCCCGGGCCGCTCGGGGACCTTTGTTCTTGCGTGTACGAATCTTGGTGGGCTGGGGCACTGGCGGTGACGGCTCCACGGTGGTGGTGGCTGGAGCTGGGGATGTGGCCGGAGCCGGGACCGGGGACGGGGGCGGAGCCTGGTCGGCAGCCACGGTAGGGGGCGGAGCAGGGGCAGGGGTAGGAGCCAAGGCTGACTCTACGTGGCCAGGGCTTGGGTTAGGCGGGTGGGCCACCAGTATCGGCGTCCTCGGAAGTGCCGGTGGCTGAGGTGTGGGTGGCGGCGCCGGTGGCGGAGTGGTTGGTGGTGTGGGCGGTGGAGGTGGCAACGGAGGTATCTGCTGTGGACCTGGAGGCACTGGGCGTACAGGCTCGCCATTGGTGGGCGCTGGAAAGATGAACATGGGTGGCGCCAACAAGGCAGGTGTAAGCCTCCGGGGCCCTGAAGCTGGATGCGTCTGACCTGACCTTGGTGGAGGGGAGCCCCAAGGCCCTGAGAGCGTGGTTGTGCGTCGTCGGGGTGCCCCGATTCCCCCGACAGCCCCGTTGAATCGGAAGTGCCGTTCACTGCCATCGGGAGGGCTCACCCAGTCGAATTTGGGCTTTGAACCTGGGAAGGTGGCGTAAGGGGGTGGCGGTAGAGCCCGGGCAAGGGGAGCGGGCGCCGAAGGGGGACCAGAACACCCTTCGCCATCTCCGTCACCGCCCTCCGTTTCCTGAGCTGCACGAGGGACCTCTCCCAAGGGACGAGTGGCTCCAGGAGGCTGAAGACCTTGCTTCAGGACCTCAGCGTAAGAGATGGCCCCCGAAGAGGCGAACTGTCCTCCTCCACCGCCGGCCCCATGTGAGGCTTTGGCTGCTACGGGACCCGAGGCCGACGCGGGGGACAAGTGGGGCCCCGACTTGAAGGTGACTTTACACAGCAGGCTGAGGCCGGACTCGGAAGTAGCAGACCGAGCCATTTCGCCCTCTCCGGCTGGGGGGGGCGCCCCTCCGCGGGCTCCCCCGGCCGCCTGGCCCTCGCTGCTGTGCCTGACCTGGCTTTCTGTGGGGCTTGTGGCCGAAGAGGCCAGAGTGATTCTGCGGCTCGGGGGCTGCGGGTCGCAAGGCGGAGGTGCTGGCGGTAGCTGCTTCCGAGGCTCCAGGAGCGTCGGAGGTGGGGCTGGGGCCCTCGGGACCGGTTCTTTTTCGGTCAGTTGCCGGGGCAGCGGTGGCAGCGGGCGGAGGCTCGGAGGGTCACCCTGACCACGATGGCTCGCCTCCAACAGGCCGCGGATCCGAGGCACTGCAGTGCCCGTGGGTTTTCGCCACTTAGATGGCGCGGGCAGCAGGGTCCCCACGGGGGGCGGGGGTGGTGTGGAGACCGCCGCCGTAGCCGCCTCCTCTGGAGGTGGTGTCACTGGCGAGGGCAGCTCTAAGGTCAGGGGCAGGGGCGAGGGTGAGGCCTGGGGCTCCGGGGGTATCAGGAGTCCCGGGGGCCCGGAACTGCCAGGGAACCAGACGCCCAGCCCTCGAGCCAGGTGCATGGCTGGGGATGAGGGGGTCACCCCGGGCTTCACCAGAGGCGTCCTGCGGGAGTCGGATGCGCGGTCTGAGGCTTGTTCTTTTCGGGAGCCCCCGCCCGCGGAAGGCTCCGACTGAACGTTCCCCATTTTCGACGGAGGCCGGAGACTGTGGTTAAATAAACTTCCACCAGTCAGTCGGCGGGTTCTGCGGGGACTCCAAGGCTCAGGCTGTTCTTGGACTGTCCCTGTCTGCATTGGTCTGCCCTGTCCTCCAATATTCTCTCAGCCCCCGTCTCTTAAGTCTCCAGTTCTCCGATTCGTCATGACCACGCCCACTCCCCCATGCTCTCAAAGCTGCGGTTCTTAGTCTTCGAACCCAACTGATTAATGTACTAAGGTGCCAACCCTGACTCCTCGGGTGCTTAGATCATATTCTTAACACCTTGGCCACCCCTGGGATCTCAAGGCTTCAGGGGTCAGTTCTCACCAGCCTCTCTGTTGAGTTTTAAACCACACTGATAATGATGGTTATGCCCTGTAGCCAACAAGGAATTGAGGCTTCTATCTATCCTAACACTCTAACCGGGTCCCTGAGGCCTAAGCCCCGCCCCCACCCGGGTCAGGTCCGCCTCTGTGGTCTAACTAATCCCCCAGTCCTTCAGTCTTAACCCTCCGATCACCCACCGTCTCTCTCTGTCGATCATTTGGATCCCTCCCTCTTCTCAGCCAGCAGCAAATCCTCAAGCCTCCTAAACTTTTCCCGCTCGCCGTTTGTGACAGCTCTTAACTTAGGCTCCACCCCTTTTCCTCAAGCTCCGCCCCGGCTCCTCCGCTCAGTAGACCCCACTCACCGACTCCTACAGCCGACCAAAGATCAGGCCATGGCCCCGTGGACCCAGGGCAGGGCGGGGAACGGCCGTAGCAGAAAATAACCGAAAAGAACGGGTGTGCGGGTGAAGGCAAGTGGGCGAGACAGCGAGGACGACCCCCGAGATCTAGGCCCCGCCCCGAGCTCGAGGCCACGCCCCCGTGGGCCAGCTTGAGCGCAGCCCTTCGAACCCAGATCAACTTTAGAAATACTCGGGTGTCTTGCCCATGTGCAGGCCCCTTCACTTTATGCCCCACCCTTTTAAAATGCCCCGCCCCTCCGTTAAGCCCCTCCCTGGACCCCGCCCATTGCGAACATTGCTACGTAGCTCCTCCTTTTGGGCCTCTTATCTGACCTGCCCCTGAGGAAATTTATCTCCAAGCTCCGCCTTGCTAAGTCCCGGCAGCATCGCTTGCCAAGACCCTGTCTTCGTTCGGACGGCTCAGAAGGCCCACCCTCCCGCCCCTTCCGTGACGCACCCTCTCTGTTCCTTCAGCGTCCAAGCCTCCTCTTTACTCGGGCTCCCAGGCCCCTTCCCTTTTCGAACCCTGCCAGGCATCCCGCCCCTCCCATTCAGAGCCCAGACCGTGGACCACCTTCCTTCTAGAATCCTGAGACCAGGCCCTATCTCTGTTCCCTTCTCACATCATCAGGGACCAACCGTTCAGATAAGTGGGAAAATGGGGGACTCCCCTCTGGGTCCCGAGAAAATGGGGGCTATCAGGGGTGTTCGTTGTAGCCCGAGCCGGGCTCTAGGACCCAGCGGGCAAGTGCGCCCGCTTTGCTCCTACCCCTCCCCCAAGCCGCCCCCTCCCCCCCCACGTCTTCCAGGTTCCCCCTCCCTCCCCCCTCGCCCCGGCTCCCGGTGCCCGTCTCCAGCGCCGCCGGAGCCAGCGAGGGAGCGGGAGCGAACAGGAGGAGGAGGAGGCCGCGTCGCCGCCGCTCGGAGCCCGGCCGGAGCCTCCCAGGCAGGTGCCCAGAGCGGCGAGGGGGCGGGGGGCTGACGAGATCGCCTGCCCTGGTGAGAGGGCAGCCAGGACCGCAGCTGCACCCTTCTGCCCACCCTTGCTCCCCGCGGACATCGGCTGGGAGAACAGGAGGGTGGGGGCCCCAATCTACGCGGTAGCTATTTGGGGTACCAGTTTCCATTTGGGGGTCCTGGACTTCTTCCAAGGATGCCCCATTCACAAAATTCTGTCGTGGACCCTCGCCATTGAGGAACTCTGAGGACTACTCTCCCTGGGAAAATAGATGTGTGGGGAACATAGGACACTCCGAGATCTCAGTGCCCCATGTCAACTAGGCCTTTGGGGGGGACCCCTGCCCTCTTTCCCTGCTTCACCTGTTGTTGGGGGAGGCGGGCGGACAAAGGAAGCAGTGTCACGTGACTGCTCATTCACAAAATCCCATCCCATTGAGAAAAGGGGGCTGGGGGCGCTGTGGCCGCCCCTTCCCCTCGTGAAAGGCTGGGGAAACCCGACAGCCTGCAGGTGGGGGAGGGGGCTAGAACTCATTGCCTGGATCCCTAAGGTTGGGACTCCAGGGTCCCTGAGCTGGTGGGCAGTGGGGTTGGATGCTAATCCTGATTGCTGGGCGGAGGGCTACATCCCCTAAGCTGGGGGCGGGGTAAAATGTTTCTGAAGGACTGGGGAGGGTGAGGGGATGGATCATTATCTCCCCCTCCCATCTGTCTTCTTTGGCGTTCCTCAACTGAGACCAAAGGGAGCAGCCTTGATTTTTGTGAATGAAATGCTCCTTGGATCTTTTCGGTCGCTGGTTGCTGGCTTCCTCTGCCTCCATCTCCTTCTCGGCCTCTCTTTCTGGCCATTTCTGGTTCTCTCTCTGCTCCCTGCCCATCTCCCGGTTGCTGGGTGACTCAGTGAGCTTTGCATCCGGTCTCATTCATAAATCCGGGAAAGGGTGGGGGGAAAGAGCCAAGGTTTCTCACCCAGCTAGTGGCCTGGGCGACTGGGGTGCGGAGGCAGTGTTGGGGGCACTGAAGCTGAGTTGATGGGGCCAGAGAAAATAGATATGCGCAGGAACCCAGCTGTGAGGGGGGACAATGGGTGGGGCTATGGGTTTGTGATGAGAGGGAGGAAGGAGACTGGGGTTGAGGGGAGAAGCAGTAGGGGGAGGGGAAGTAGCAAACCCAGGCTATGGGGGTGGGGATGGGGGAAGATGCTGAGAAGGTGGGTATGGTGAGAAAAGGTAGATCCGACGGAAAAGGTAGGTGGGCAAGATGTCACCAAGAAGAAAGAAGCCATGATAGAAGAAAGTGGGCAAGGGGTGGGGGTACTGGTGGCTTGAGGGTGAGGCCCGTCCAGAGGTAGCAGATAAAAGGAGAGCAGGGCTAGAGGAACGCTAAAATCGGGAGCAAGATTTGAGTTCATGGCCTGTGTTGTCCCTCCACCCCCTCCAGGTACATGGTGCGGGTCCGAGCCGTGGTGATGGCCCGAGATGACTCCAGTGGGGGCTGGCTGCCTGTGGGGGGCGGGGGCCTCAGCCAGGTGAGCGTATGTCGGGTCCGAGGGGCCAGGCCCGAGGGGGGGGCCCGCCAGGGGCACTACGTCATCCACGGGGAGCGGCTTCGGGACCAGAAAGTGAGCCACCCTGGGGTGTGGGAATGGGATGAACCCTGGGGAAGGAGGGAAGGGCCTGGGGAGAGGGGGGGACAGGAGAGGTCATGTGTCCCCCTACCACTGGGACTCAGAGTGGGCCATGGGATGGAGTTTGGAATGGACATCTCGTTTGTGAATTAAGAGCTGGGATTTGGGGGTGGGGTGGGGTATTGGGAAACTTGTGTCGGCTGCTTCTCTGGCTATTCTGTCATACAGCTATTTCGGTAGTGGTCTTCCTGTCCCGTTCCTGCTCCTCCTCCAACCCTGGTCTGTCCACAACGACCCAGCTCACACCCAACTCACATCATGTCCCTTCTCTGCTCAGAACCCTCTTCGGGCTCCATCTTGTTCAGAGGTGCCCTCTACCAATTGGCTCTTGTCTGCCCTAAGTATCTGGAGGAATCTGTGAGGTCTGCTTAGAAGTGTCACATATGATTGACAGTCCTATGTCACATGCTTCTAATCCCAGCACTAGGGACACTGTGACAGGAGGATTGTGAAGTTCCAGGACAACCTGGGCTAGGTAGTGAGACCCCTTTCTTGAAAGGAAAGCTTGGGAAAGAGGATGCATTTCAAAGCAGGGCCTGAGGAACAGTGTAGAGGAAGTGTTGGGATCAGACAAGGACACAGAGGGACATCGAGGGGTGGTCAGCATCGAGTGGACTGTGTAGGAGGTTAGTATCTCTGGGCCAGCTTTCAGGGGATTATTGAGGCATCAGAAGGGAATTGGCTGTAATATTTTGATATGTCCAGTAAAGTGTGAATAATGCCTTTTCTTCAATCAAAGTAGGGCATGTTAGGTTATGAGAAAAGGTTAATTTTTTTTTAACATTTAATAAGATTGGAGGTTCCTACTGAGATATCAGAGGAAGAAATTAGATAAGTATAGAAATCAAAGGATTGAAGGAATATTGCAGATCCAGAGACATGTCCCCTAAGACTAGGCTATGTTAGTTTGTGTTTAGGTACACCTGGTGTTGAGAATGAAGTAGTTGGGATATACAGAGGGGCTGGCACACCACCCTAGCCCCTTTCTGCCCCTCAGACCACCTTGGAGTGTACCCTGAGGCCAGGTTTGGTTTACAACAAAGTGAACCCTATCTTCCACCACTGGAGCCTGGGTGACTGCAAGTTTGGGCTGACGTTTCAGAGTCCTGCAGAGGCTGATGAGTTCCAGAAGAGTCTGCTAGCTGCACTGGCCGCACTCAGCCGAGGTGAGTAGTGTAGGCACAGACTCCCAGGCTGGGGGACAGACATAGGTGAAGCTGGGGTCTGGGGACTCACTTCTGCCTCTCTCCCTATCCTAGGTTCGCTCACTCCCTCCTCTTCCTCTTCCTCCTCCTCCCCTTCCCAGGACACTGCAGAGACCCCCTGCCCTCTGATGGTGAGTCTTGGAATCTGCCATGGGAGGGTGGGGGACAGTTCTAGTCAACAAGTATTCCTGAATACTTGCTGTGGAGCTCGCAAAAGGCCACATGCTGGGGACACAAAATCAGGCCCAAATGGATAGTGGCAATTCAACCATGGCCATTCTAGTTTCTCTATTCTTTTATATGTATCTATCAATTTACTTTTAGTTAGAGTTTAATGTAGCCCAAACCAGTCTCAAAGTTCCATATGTATCTGAGGATGACCTTGGATTTAGGTCCTCCTGAGTGCTGGGATCATTGGTGTGTGTCACCGTTCGTGGCTTGCTTACTCATTCCTCTCTCTTTCCTTCCCTTTTTTTTGGGGGGGGGGTGGAGGGTTGGGGTGGGGATATGGTGGCACAGATTCTCACTCTATGGCCTAGGCTGATCTGCAGTTTGGATCCTCTTACTTGGTGGGATTACAAGGGTGCACCCTCACACCCTGCTTAGTTTTTCTCTGTTGCTGTGACTCATACATTTGGTCAAGGGTACTTAAAAAGCACCAGGCAGTGTTTTAGGCACCAGGGATATATTAGTAAGCAAAGCAAACTTCCTTTTTTTCTTGGTGCTTTAGTCCAATGGGAAAGACAGAAAAAAAGATAGAATATAAAAAGCAATGAACTTTAAAATGAGTGCATGGACAAATGAATTGATAATTCTCGTTTTTTTTTGGAGACAGGGTTTCTCTGTGTAGCCTTCCCTGTAGACCAGGCAGGCTTGAAACTCAGAGATCTGCTTGCCTCTGCCTCCTGAGTGCTGGGGCTAAAGGCCTGTGCATCCACCCCCTGGCTATGAATTGATAATTCTGTGTTCTAGTTACTGGCCAAGCTACAGGCTTGTAAACTTGGAGTCATCCTTGATGCCATCGGTTTTGTTTGTTTTGTTAGATAAGGCCTTACCACACGGCCAGGTCATGTGACCCAGGGCCTGGTGATGTGGGATCTTACGTGCCACTGTCAGGGCTTTTTCCTTTACCTTGAGGGATGAAGCCATGGAGGGTTCTGAGGGAGGGAAGGCTCTGATGTCAGTTCATGATCAATAGAATCTCCTTGGCCCTGCTGGGGGAACTGATAGCAGGAGTTGGCGGGGAGGGGTAACAGTGAGAAGCTGTGGCCATGGTTCTGTCAGGAGATGAAGGCAGCTGGACCTCGTGATCCTTCCATCTCAGTCTCCCATGTGTGGGGTTATAGGTGTGTGCCACCACGCCTGGCTGCTTGTGTTTTCCTGCTTCCCATAGAATCTGTCACAATATTGGTTCTTTCTTTCTTTAAAAAAAAAAAAAAATGTGTGTGTGTGTGTGTGTGTGTGTGTGTGTGTGTGTGTTCAAGTGCTTTGCCTGCATATATGTCTGTGCATCTACTATGTGCCTAGTGCCCGCGGAGGCCTGATGAGTTGTTAGATCACCCTGGAATTTATTTACATCTGGTTG